TGCTTTTGTTTTCAAGGAAGTGGAGATCAAACTGCGACAATTTTGAATTTTTATTATCAATTTAAATGAATTGAACTTTAAATTAATATTTTTTTGACAAATATGATTTTTATTTATTAATTTTAATAATTTTTATGTTCTTTAAATATTATTTAATTTAGTCGAAATATGATTTATCGAATATTGCATTGTAGCTATTCATTATATTTTAAAATTAATAACACTAAAAAAATAAAATCACAAATAATCAAATAAAAATAAAAGTATATTTATTTCAAAAATTACATTTTTTAATCAAGTATTTTTATTAAATTTACACTTACATAACTATTAAATTGATTATCTTATATTAAAAATAAAATAAAATTTTTAATTTAGTATTAACTAGATTGTTGTTGATATAAATTTTTAATTTTTTTCTAATAAACTATTTCTATTAAATTCATACAGACATAATCATTAAATTGACTAGATTATAAATAAAACAAAATATATAAATCTAGTTTTAATCATGTTGTCATTGATGTAAATTTTTAATTTTTTTCTAACCAAATGTTTATAATAAATTTATACTAACATGATTATTAAATTGGGGCATTAGGATGATAACATGTCCACTTCGTGAGTATAAGTATTTTATTTTATTGTTAATCAAGCGTTATACTTTTTTATTGGATTATTTGTACTTTCAATTTTTTTTAATGAGTTTTATTAATTTTAAAATTTAACGAATAGCCATTATGCAATACTATGTAGATCATATTTTGACTAAGCTTTTTATTTAAAAAAATTAAAATGCTAATGATCAAAGCGTTGACCGTTGATGAGTTAACTCTTTGACGAGTTAAAGATAACTAATAAAGATTATATTTTTTTTATAAAAAAATTAAGATTAAATATAAGAAATTATCAAATCATAGTAGTTTGAGGGCAATTTTTGTCATTAAACCATAGCCACTATGCAATCTTATTTAAATCATATTTTCACTTTTTTTTTAAAAAAAAACACGAAATGTTAACGGTCAAATGATTGATCGTTGATGGTCAATTCTTTGACTATTAAAGATAATGAGTAAAAATTACATTTGTAAAATAATAACAATAATAATAGTTTGAGATTCAATTAATCCAAATTGATAGTAAATGACCAAAATTGTTAAATCATAGCAGTTTAAGGATAATTTTTACAATTAAACCAATCAATATTCATATTCCAATGTATATATAATTTGTTGTATTTATTTTTTATCAATATATATTTAAAATAACTTATCAACTTTTATTTTATTTTATTTAAATTACCTTTGTTTGATGTATGTAAAATATTGTATTTTTTTTTAATGAGTCATGCATTTTATTTTATGAAAATAAGTAATTAGAAAACAATGCAGATCTTCAATTAAGGTCCATCTTTGATCGAAATAGATATGAAGAGTAGGAGGAGTTTGTGGAGCTAATGCTTTTATAGAGTATACAAATCTATCATAGTTTTACATAAGTTACATAAATTTATCATAGTTGAGGAGAGGGATCCATAACTTTACGAGCGTTTATTTAAATTGGATCCAATTTATTTAAAAAAAGAGATGATATTCAATATCGACAAGGAATATCAAGCCTGGACATCTTAATTGGTACAAAAGATTAACAAATCTTACAAACGAGGAATTAGAATAACAAGCTCCGACCTCAAAAGGTAAATCTTGATAAATTATGCGGTCACTTCATCTATTATTATTATTGTTATTGTTATTATTGCTGTTGTTGTTGTTTGTATGCATGTTGGATATGAACCTTCCACCCCCCAGCTCATTAAATGAATTTTTTCGTCGAATGAGTATTTTGACTGGTATAAAGAAATCCATTTTATTGTTTTTGAAACAATATTTGCCGACAGGAAGTGTTACATAATACATCATGTAAGAAACTATGGCTATCTACTTGGGATCCATTGATGATATACAATCTGTAACTTACATTATTTAAGCTTATTGCGTTAATACATAGTCCTAACGAACAAATTTAGTTTTTATCTATATAGTCATTAAAATGCATGGTAACTAACATTACAAAACCAAAATAAATAAAGAAATTGTTGTGGTACATGTAAATCTGTTTTAATCCGTAGAAATTTAACTTATTTAGTACACAATTTTGCCATTCTAACCTTAATTAGCTGAAAAGGACGAAAAGGACACCCACTTCTTTCCGATCATTTGGTTGGGAAGCTAGATGAGCACGCGCTTGAATAAAGAGTGGGGAATTGTAATATTCTCCTACTCCATTCCACTTACAAACATTGTGAAAAAGGGCGAGGAGATGTGAGAGGTGGTGGTGGTTGGTTGGCTGGCTGGAGGGTGTTGCCTATGCTTGTCCTATGCTCAGGTGTCATAGTCGCGGATTTAACCTGTTACGTGGATCCAGCTCATTGGATGAACTCTTTCCCTTGAGCTTCTCATTTGTTGCACAAGACAAATCACAGCCAATAAGTTTGTGCCACATCTCAGCTCGTGCGAGGACCTACTTCCAATGTTCAATTATGTGGGAGGCTGCCCAATAAGAGGTGTTGTAACCGCGCGAGGGCCCACCTCTCCCAGTTGTCCAGTGTGATTTCACTATTGATCTGGACCGTTGTTTTGGCGGCTACCAATTGAAACTGACAAGAACAAAAACAAGATATGGGGAAAATAAAGAAGAAAATACTGTACAAAGGATACCAGAGTTGTTTGTTTTCTTTTCCAGAAATTTTATAGCACTGAATAACTAAATAATTTAAATTGCTCTGTAAAGAAAAATAAATAAAAAAAGTGAAAAAAAGAAAATTAAATTTTTTTGAACCAACATGAATTTTTTTTTATTATTTTTTATATATCTAGATGTAATTTTTTTTTCTATTAATCTCTCTCTTTAAAAATGTGCCTATAAAGTAACAAAATATTTTTTAAATATTATAAAATTTCAGTTTTCTACAGATAATTATAAGAAAAGAGAATAATTTCTTTTTCTTGGTGGTTCGATCCGAGGGCCTAGATTAACGGATGAATGTGCATTTGTTGACTGTATTTCTGCACAAGTAAGCTCCTTAATGTTAGCCACGACCTGTGCAGCTAAATTAAAGGAAATCGAAATTTGAATTTTTTTCTTTCAAAAACTCAAAATTTGAAAACAAAAAAGACTTGTGATATCATTTGTGGTTATTTAAAAAAACAAAATAAAAAAAAATCTGTTTAGTATCGTTGTCTGTTTTTAAAATTGATTTCAAAATCTGTTTTCATTTTCTATGTTTTTTAAAATTGTTTTCAAAATGTCCACTAATCATATTAAGTTTTTTTTTAATCCTTTTCTTTTATATTTCTGATTTTTCTACCATTATCTTTTTTTTTTTTTTTTTGAATATAACGGCAATTGTTGCCTTTGAACTATTGAAATTATAGAACATTGAAATATGCATTTTTTCTTTCGTCAATTTTATTCTTAAACTATTATATTGTGGACAATAAATTTTAGATTACTCTCTTTAGTTTTGCAAAATAAATTAATTAATCCTATTTATTTTAAAAATTAATTATTTAGTTTTTATATTTTAAATTTTTTTTGTAACTTAATTATTTTAAATTATTATTTTTTGTTTTAAAAAAAGAAAAAAGAAAAATAATTAAAAAATATTGAAGGAAAGATGAAAAAAGATGATATTTTTGAAATAAATTAATATCAAATCAAACATGATCAATACTTATTAAAAAATTATATAATTAGTTTTTGAAACATGGGTTAATTTATTTGTTTCTAAAAAACAAAAAAACTAATTTATAATTTACCATGTTTCGGATAAATATGGTCTTTGTGTTTGATTTGATTGTTATCATTGAACAAAAACATCTTCTTTTTTTTTTCCTTATTTTGAACGGAAAGTTTTCACTTATGCTAATAAAAATTCAATTTTTTTCAAAGTCATAATTTATTTTATAAACAATGAAAATTCAATAAATTATGGAAAAATAAAAAAAGCTAAAATTATTTCAAAATTTTTTAGAGCAGTAAGGATGTCATATGAATTTACATGAGTAAATTTAGTGCATTTTCTGAAAATTTTTACACATTGTGGTTTCCAAAACTAAATTATTTTGAGTTTGGTTAGATGTTATGCATTCAATCATATAAATAATTTGATAATTATACCAAAACTAAGTACATAGATATACATGATTTTTAATTTTAGGATCCCAACAAAATTATGAATCATTCCAAATTATTTTATATATTTTTTGAAATTTTATAAATTTTAATATGTAAAAATAATTAAAAATACTTCTTGATCTATTTTTTTATAATTATTTTTAAAAGTATTTTGAAATTTTATTAGTATAAGAAAAGTTTTTTTAATTCAAAATATAAAAAATTGAATTTTTAAAAATGAGTTTTCAATCAATAATAATAATCAAATCAAACACACGAACTATATTTATTCAAAACATGATAGTTTAAGAATAAAATTGATGAAGCAATCACAACTTCAATAATTCAAGAACAAAAACTACCATTAAACATTGCCTTTTTTTTTTTCGGCTTAAGGTTTTAAAAATAGACGTTTAAAATGAAAACGACAATAGTATCAAATGTACAGTCGTTGTTGTTTTTATGTTAAAAGAAAAAACAAGTGTTAAAAAAAAAAGGAAAATTGCAAAAGACCAAACGCCTTCATAGAAAATAATAAAAGAAGAGATATGTTAGCAGTTTTAAAATGACGAAAAATAAGAGAAAACAGAGAGACTGACAATAATATAATAAGAGAGGGTACTTTTTCATTAAGTTGCAGGATCCACAGACCCCATACCAGCCAATAACAACCCACCACCTCCTATTTCTGCTTCTCTCTTTCCCTCCCTCGAGATTTTAGTTTTAGCCACAAAGAAAAAAAAAAAAAAAAACTCAGATTCATTCCTTGAAGCTAGGTACCTTGCTTTTGAGCTTTTTATTACTGCTGCTGTTTCTGTCCTTTGCTACTCATTGGAGTCACTATACCCACTTTTTCTTTCTTTCTTCTCTTTTCTCTGTTGCTCAGACCTCAAGGAAAAGGAGGAAAGAAGAGATCTTTTCCCAGCTTTTGCTTCTTCCACTGCTCCAAATCCAATCCACTTCTCTACCTGTGTTGTTTTTCTTCTCCTCCTTTTCTTTTCTTTACTGTGTAACTTCTCCCCAAGTTTCTTTCCTTTAATCTTTCCCTTTCGGGTTATCAAATTCATTGAAGCTACAGAGAGAAGTGTGTTTTAAGTACTAGTGAAAACTTACAAGCTTTCTTCTTTTGGAATTCTTGCCAGTTAGTTTTTTTTTTCAGGTGTTATTCTTTTTCTGTTTTTTATATATTTTCTTTCTTAGAAAGTTTATTAGAGCTAAGTTCAGATCTCAGCAGTGGTTTTAGGGTTTAGGTATATTTAGTTCTAGATTGCTTGTGCTAACTTTCGTTTGCTTTTTTTTTTTTTTTTTGTGGAAGAAATTTGGTTCTTTGTAGATTCCTGAAGGGAATGACTAAACATAAAAAGCTATTCTGATTCCTTGCAAAATGCTTCTTGATTTAACACTGATATTTCCGTGTTGAAAGTTCCACCTCTGCATTTCCTCATCTGGGTTCTCCTCCTCTTCCTCTGTTTCCCCTCTCCTCCATAAATCCAACTTCTCTAGCCACTTTTTTTTTATCAAGCTACTTGTGAAGTGAATTTGTTTGAATTCACTGGCATGTTAACATAATTCTGCTGCTTAACAATTTGATACAATGAAGTGGGAAGTGGAAATTCTATCTCCATCGTACTTTTCCAGCACGAACTGGCTAAGAGAAGAGAGCAAGAGCACAAAATGGACTCCAGCAGAGAACAAGGCGTTTGAGAATGCTCTCGCAGTTTATGATAAGGACACTCCTGATAGATGGCAAAAGGTGGCAGCTATGATTCCAGGGAAGACAGTAGGGGATGTTATCAAGCAGTATAAGGAATTAGAACTTGATGTTAGCTACATAGAGGCAGGTCTGATTCCAGTTTCTGGATATGGCACCTCTCTATTCACACTGGATAGGGTTAATGGCAATGGATATGATGGTTTCAAACAATCTTATGGCCTTGGTGGAAAGAGATCCTTAACAGGTCGACCTGCTGATCAGGAGAGAAAGAAAGGAGTTCCATGGACAGAGGAAGAGCACAAGTAAGTTGTATACATATTATTGGTTAATTTTTTTGCTTGAACATTAATGTGAAAAGTTATCAATTTAAGAAAAGGATAGGCTTTTTTTTTTTTTTTTTTTTAAATCTTGTTTTTTCATTGTATTTCCAAGGATAGTGAATTGAATGTTGTATGGTGGTAGAATCGGCGGTGGTTGAGAATATAATCTGTGGAAGAATCTAATCTAGAGGAGAGCATAATTGTATTAGAATCTTTAAACTGCGTCACTGTGGATATATTTTTATCGCAGTTGTACTTTATAGGAGGATGTGTTTGCCAGTTGCCATAACTTTGTTTAAGTTTCTGTTCGTAGTTGAGATATTTGTAATGGCTTGTTCCTTGGCAAAAATTACTGGACCTAACAGTTCAATTTACTGCAGGCTGTTTCTGATGGGCTTGAAGAAGTATGGCAAAGGGGACTGGAGAAACATATCTCGCAATTTTGTTATCAGTAGAACGCCGACTCAGGTGGCTAGTCATGCACAAAAATATTTTATCAGGCAGCTCTCAGGAGGGAAAGATAAGAGAAGAGCTAGTATTCATGATATAACAACTGTCAATCTCAACGAAGCGAGAACTCCTTCACCGGACAATATAAGATCTCCACCTGATCAATCTGGTGCGATTTCTCAGCAGCCCAATTCTGCTGCCATTCCGAGAACAAATTTCCAATGGAATCAACCCAACAGTGGAGCAACCATGGGTTTTAATTCAACAAATACGAACATGTTCATGTCTTCTCCTTATGGGATTAACTCATATGGGCTTAAAATGCAAGGCCAAAATCTGCATAGAGGTGCTGTTCATGACTCTTACTTTGGACAGCAAACCATGGGTTTTCAGATGCAATCTGCGCAACACTATCCTCATGGATGACAGTATGGTTGTTTTTTTAATCCATGGCTCATAACTCCGCGGCTTCTTTTCAGTAGAATAGACGTGTCTGTGACTTCTTTTCTGTTTTTCTTTTTCTTTTTTCCCTATGGTCTTCTGTGTATATGCCATCAAGAACTCGAGTTTAGTCAAATAGTACGTGAACTTAGAGGGGACAGGATTCTGTTTTGCTTGGAATTCAATTTCCGTATTGTAAAACTGAGGCTGGTTATCCTTGTATTTAAGAACAGCACCTGCTTTGTAACGGAGTGGTGACCTTATCCACATGGGCATGGGCATCAATGTGTTATGTGGATCTTGTTTTAGACTGAGTGTAGGAAATAATCTTGAAGTGAGAGTTTAGTTTCATGGTTGCCCGCCCACACCCATGATTCGATAGTTAATACCTTAAAGATGGTTTCTCCAAGATAAGATTAAGAACATGCAGAAAGAGATTTGTATAGAACAATAAGTAACCATATGGAATTCCTAGTTAAGGTGGAGAATGTAATAAAGGAATCAAATGATGAACATCTTCAACAGTAAGTTGAAAGCTTAGCAGTTCAGACCTGCCTGTATGGTTGTTGATGCTCAAAAAAGGTCATGACTACTGTGACATACGTAATGTTTGTGTCTGTAAAAGATCACCACTTTAAGTTCGAATTCAATATATGCGGGAGGGTCTTTGAGCTTTTCAGTGTTCTCTTTTCTTTTTCTGCGTTCTTATAGCTGATCAATTGCATCGTGCATTTTAGCCAACTGATTAGCAGAACTTCAGAATCTGCAGCTATACTCGAATTCCAGAAACGATTACCTCTAGCTTTGTAGTATTTCTTGTGTAGTTCTGCACTTCTGCTGTGGAATTAAGTCCAAACTTAAAATATTGGAACGTCGAACAACAAAACTGAATGCTTAAATCATATTGAAAGAGTCATGGAGCACTTCATATGGACTTCTTTAGTCTCCGGTCACCTAATTTTATTTATTTATTTTTGTTAAATTGGAGATGCATAACCAAAGAATTGCGTAAAATATGTAAACTTATCCGGTTGAGACATGATATTCGAGAGAAAAAAGAAATTCTTTCGAGATATTCGAGAGAAAAGAAATTCTTTCGAAATCGAGACCTTTTAAAGGAAAGAGACACTAATCTAGTTGAGAGCTCATTAGCACCTAATTTTCTTGTAACCATTTCAAATTGTTTCACTAGCCATTCTTCGTATAAAAATAAAAAAAAGGGTCTTTTTGACTAGGCTTGACCTTTCAAAACTGTAGTCGAGGCTGACTCTCCATTCCACTTAACGAAGCATCATACGTTTCAATCCCCCTCTCTTTTTCTTCGTCCTTTAATATTTCCTTCAAGTGATCTTTCTCCATAATGGATCTTTCCCAAAAGATTCTCTTCAGTAAGAAGAAGATCCTTCTCTGGGGTATAAATTATTGATTAAATTATGATACCACCGTACCAAGTAAGATTCAGGCCAGATTGCCTCCGTCCTTAATTACTAAATTAATCCGCACATCTTTTGTTCTAACCGCTCTTAAGCTAGCTTATCCAATTAAGATGTTAATCTCCTCACATTAGATTTTGTTGTAAATGCTTGCTGGCACGGCTATTGCACTTGCCTAGGAATGTTCTAAGTTCATGAAAGCATTACTGTTTAGTGATCCTAATTGTACGGTTCAACCAACTAAATAAAGCTTTTAATGTAATGTAAACAGAAGCTTGATTTATGAACCCACCTAAGGAGACAAAATATCTAGCTTTTTACAAGGTGGAAAGGGTACTTCTTATCTTTATATTTTCTTAGTCAGTCCAGGTGATAATTTTATACCTTTTTCAAGTGCACGCAGAGATTCTCTCTTGGTGGGGGGAATTTTCATTCGACCTGAAGTATCATTCACACTCTCAGAAGAAAGAATCTTCTCCTTAATTAAGTGTTTTTTTGAACTAATGACTGCTGCCAAACGAGACAACTTAGTTATGATGATTTATTGACTACTGCTGCCATAAAAAGTTCAGTGAAGTAACTCGCTTTTGTTCAGCTATCATGTTAGGTTTTGCATCCATTTCTCTCTCTCCCCCTCTCTCTCAGGCACTCAAAGAATATTCCTATGAATCAATCGTGCATGATTTATCTTGCCATATATAGACAAAAGAAAATTTCTCTTCATTGATAGGTCAATGACATTGGTTTAAACATCCATTTCATTTTGTTGAATTAATCATCATAGCAATGATGATTTATGAAACATACAAAAGTTTTGTCGAGAAGCAAATGGAAAATAAATTTTATTAATTGGATTTGATTCCAAATATCCTTTCTTCCATTTTCATTAGCCGCAGAAGTGTTTTTTTTTTTTTTTTCTGCTCATTAATTAATTGCCGAATTATGTCTGCCAATTATCAACAAAAGGGAGCAAAGAGTTTATAATTCAATGATAATGATCTTTTGTAACAACAGATCATGAATTTAAATATTAACAGGTTAATTTTACTAAGAGCTTTGGATGTATGATTTTTTTTTTTTAATAAAAAAAGAAGCAAACCAATTATCAGCAAGAGGGAGCAAAGTGAAATTCACCTCAAAATTTTGAGGGCTAGAACTTAGCATCTAGCCAAAATGACTGATGTTAAAAGCCAAGGCAGTTGCATCGTTACCCCGTTTGTTATTTTTACATTTTTGGCACTACCATTGGCAATTCATTTTCCTTTAATGGAGCAAACATAATAAAAGGCCAGTAATCACTTCCTTGCAAAAAGATGCCGTCATTCCCTCCAATCCATCGAATACAGAACAGCATATATCTATGATCAAATTTAATAGGGTTGTGTGTTACAGTTTTATTGTTGGTAGCAACAGCACCATCCCAAATAGCTTTTTCAACAATAAACGACAAAGAATAGCCACTATCCTTTTTTATTAAGGAGGAGTAACCTTTCTGCAACTTGCATAAGAAAGCACCTCCGTTCACTTTATTCCTATTTCAATCAAGACCTTAACTGGTTAAAAGTTACCACTTGCAACCACAAAAATTGTATCAATTATTAACACTTTCGGTTATCTAGTTGCTCTCTATTTCCTCAACTATAGATTCTGATTCCTAGAATGGTTTTAGTTGAATTACACTTCATAATCTTTTAGATAATAATGCAGCCCTAATTTTCCAGCTACATGTTAAAAAGGTTCCTGAGGTTGCCTGCTGAAGTAATTTTGATTCCCCACGCAGCTTATCTGGTCCTCAGAGATCAAGGAATAATTTACTTGTAGAGGGTTTATTTTACACGAGTGTAAGAAGAGGCAATGGAAAGCAGAAGATGCATTATATCTATAACATTAATCAAATGTAAAACAATCGGACTCTAATGCCACAAATCAGAGGCATCTTGGGACAAAAGAGAATGGTTGAATAAAAAGGAACATACCATGATAGATTATTGTGGTTGCGAATCTGATCCTCCCATTCTTAGTCTACTGAATTCCCTTTTCTTTTATTGACAGAGATTTTACACACCTGCAACATTGATGCGATACATCTACCTTATTATTGGCATCTCAACACCCAAGTTAACTACTACTTGTCAAACAATGAAGAGAATACAAATATGGGCCCTCAAGGATTTGCATCCTGGTAGGCCGTACTTGGAATGAAGGGTATGACAAGCACATAACTGGTTCTAGGAATTTATTGATATATCCCTTATATACTGCCTCAATGGCTCCAGAATATTGGACCTTTGGCCTTCAATTTATTCAGTCAAAAGAATTGTCCACTTTGCATGTTAACCCGAAGCCGAAAGGAAATTGAGGATCATATGAATTATCTCTGAAATTCATTGGCAATTGCTCAACCTTTCTAAACCATGACACTGGCAGTCTGCCGCTAAATTCATAATCTCCAAATATAACATCTGTAATTCCCTTTCCTTCAGTTCCAGGCAACCAAGCAGCAGTAAGACCATCTATCTTTTCCAAAAGCCAAGGTTCTATAACCAAAGGTCTTCCAGATATCAGAACAACCAATGTGGGGATTTTATCAGCTACTGAGTTTATTATATCAGCCCCATTAAAGGGTATTGCAAGCTCTGAATTGTCACCAGTGAATTCTGCATAAGGAGCTTCGCCTACAGCTACAATGGCATAAGAAAATTCTTGGTTAGCTAAGGTGTCTGATGAAGGATTTTTTTCATAAATCACTTCGGTTTCCTCTCCCATTTCTTCTTTAATGGCATCCAAGATGGTTGTCCCTGAAACATAAGGAACATTAATAAGTGTGATGCCCGCATTTAGTCACAGAATCATGTACAAAGAGCGTGTGTATTTCTCCAGTTACGCTTAATTATTATTGCAATAACATTACAAAATAGGAATGCCAAATAGTTCAGCCACTAAATTTACATCATGATTGTAGGGACCGACCAGGGATCTCACCAAAATCATGGAGGAGTTTAATGGGGGTTGAAGAGGGGAGAATGAGGGCTATCCCTGTTTGTGTAGCTAGTAACTACCTATCAGACAAAAATTTGCCCCCAAACAAGATGCTGTGGCGATTAATACAAACTAAAAAGAGCTAAGACATGAAATACAAGTTCCAAGTTTATAAGCTGGTCTCTTTTTCTTTATTTATTACTTTCCTTTCAAGAAAGGTGAGTGAGAGAAAAACACAGTATCATTAGCGAGAACATAGTACCCGATAACCACAAGGTCAAACAAAAAAAAGCAGCACACTTTGACCAACTGCTGACACCATACCCGCCCACCCACATACAGAAAGACACATTCAGAGAAAGATGCAAATGCAATTTTTCTAATGTCAAGAATATTCCTCTTAAGTTTTCAAAATCAACTTGAAATAGATATTTGTTAGCGCATCCAAGTTAAGAACTAAACGAAATCCAGACAAAGAACTTGCACGAACAACTGGCAATTAAGTGTTACTTTGTAATCATGCCCATGCATGTGGCAGGTGGATAATATATGCACTTTTCCTGGTAGGAGTCC